CATAATTCCAAAAGTTGCTGACAACTTCTTTACAAGTTAATTTATCATTAAATGATCAGTCAATTTTTATTTTTTGTCATTTTAGAAGCTGATTGTTTGTATTTCCTTCGCGGTTTCCATTAAATACTTACCAGACTGTTAATTTAGCCATTCTATATGTCTGGAAATTGTATCATATGGCTTTCCTAGGGACCATCCGTGGTCTCCCTGGAATCACTGGTACATCGTATTCAAACCTGAATTAAGCTGGATTTTTAGAATCTTCAATTGATATTTCACGGGCACGGTTCTGGGACTTTTGATTAATTGTATCCACGATGTACATGGTTTCAAGGTTACTTCTGGAGTCCTGCTGTTGAGTCTTGAGCTATAACGATCATGTGAGTGATTAATATTGTCCATCAGCGCCTTCTCTATCTTTATTTGCATTATTATATACTGTTTTTTTCTTCACCTGCTTTGTTTTGTTGTTTAGAAATTATATGTTTTATTTCGCAGTTTTTTCTATATATGTTTGTAATTTATTATGCTCAATCTTCGACTCTCGGTGCTTATAATACATCACTCTCTACTGTTTTCTATACATGTGAACCCCCTTTAAATGTACTTTTTTTTTGCCAGGAATATAAACTAAAAGCGACGAAGCGCATACATCAAGTTTTAAATGGAGATGGCTAATTTCGCAACGAGTAAAGGGGAGAAGGCACAAATTAATTAAGCCTAGTGCTGTGAGGATTAGGTAATTTCAGTGACCTTGGGAACAGATTACAATCAGCAGCCGAGCGAAACATTACCAAATGAGCTTCTTTTCTTAATTGTCATAACCATTCTATATGTTACTACGCCTAAATCAAACTGGTGGTTTTGTCTTATAAAAATCCAATTAGCCGATTGATGGGTAACTTTTTTTAAACGTCTTTGATATACATCTTTCATGATCTTATGATCTTACACATCTCTAGTCACCATTTTAACGGAGCGACGGGTTAGCCAAGTAACATAATTTTAGCAGTATTGGAAACTTCATGTGGTAAATTCAATCTGGCGATTCTGGCGGTGTAACATGTGATGCTAATAACTTCAACGGTTGAGATTCGTGGAAGGTGTAGTCGTGAATAGCAAGAACTGCGTGGGCGGTAGGGCGGCAAGATGATTTGATTAGAGCATTTGGGGAGGTTTGAGTGTTTCTCTTTATTTGACGTCATACTAACATGTGCAAAATCGGGTTCTTGTTCATAGCAAGAACTTACTGCTAAGAGGGGTTTATGAAATTTTGCAATTTGGTAGGTGATCGGGGCATTCCAGTGTTTAACTAATTTGATGGGGAATTCGTAATTCTTGTCGATGATAGTCATAATGAGTATTGTCGTTTTTAACATCAGTATAAAATCATGTGAAGAGCAGGATTATTTATCGCTAATAATGATGAGTTCGTACTATTTCAGCTAGTTAGATGTCGGCTTATTTTTCACCAGCATTTGCTTTCAATAGCACATCCTTGAAGTAGAAAGGCACAAAGGGATAACCGAGTCCGAGGTAGAATTTGGACTGGAACTCAACCCTGCAATAACTTTTTTTTGCTTTTTAATCGAGTTGGAAGTTATGTATAAGTCAAGCATTTTGAAGTGTAATCGATTTATGCTATGTGATGCAAATGTCCATCTACTTATGAAGTATTTCAATTTTTAAAATCTAAGGGAATTCATTCATAAGAACCAACCAATGCAGTCGGAGTGTGTGTAGGAATGCGGAAAGTCCTTCCATAAGTACCAAAATCGAAACAGTCAGAATACCGAATGCAAAAAATATCGAGTAAGCAGCGACATAACCAGCAATACCAGAAATGCCAAAAGCTCGTACAAGTACCATTTCCCACAATACTTCCGATAACTCTGCAATATTCACATGAAAAGTTCCGCACTGAAAATTCCGATTTGATGCTTCTTCCAATTCAAGTAAACTATTGAACTCTGTGCTAAGGTTGAAGCTCAACTACTGGAACATTGCTTTTTTTCATTATCAAATTTCAGTAAAATATTACACCAATAAGAATGGGGCTATCAAAATTTCTGGAAGCTATGGGAATTCTGGAAACAACTATCCTTCATCGATATAAAATTTTACAGCAAAAAATAAATAAAAAATAAAAATTGAAATAGCAAAATGATTTGAGTGACTTACGGGCATGTGCCAGTGATAAAGCCCATAATCGAAGATATGATGCTGTATGGGACACACAGCCAAGGACATACTCAATTGTATGGATAGCTTGATGAACCATAACGTCCCCAAAAGACTTAAAATAAAATTTGCAATATCGAAATCATTTCATATCTGCTAGTGTTTCCGAAGCTTTTTTTTTGAAAAAAAATAAATGTTTTTTCTCAGTATTGGGTTATGAATCAAAGATGGAATCAAATAACTGGAATAAAATTTTCTTCTTTTTTATTTTTGCCAAGAACTCACCTCTTCCTCACATTCATTATCAGATGTAGTTTCTTCCCAATCTTTTTTACTTAAACCACTTCCATTTTCATTTAAAGTTATCTCTGCCTTCTCGCTTTCCTGATTCATCCATACAACCTGATGAAAGAGAAATTTACTGTGAAAACTTAGAAGAAAGAGATTCTTCTCAAAATATCAAAGAAGAAAAAGTATAATTCTCAAGATTAATATTCAGACATAAGTTGTCTTTGAAGGGTAACATCAAATGGATCTTGACAACAATTAGCTTATTTTAAAATGATTAAGGAAATTTGTGGGAGGTATTTTTATCTCTCGAGAGGGTCAAAGGAATCGAATTCAGACTATATTTAACCACTTTAGCTTTTAACACCTTTTTTGACATCTCATTAGTTTTTTTTTCTCTTTTATTTTTGAACTTACAGCATTGTCGCTAATGGCATTTCTCTTCTTACGGTGTAGCAGAAAATGAATCGGTTTGCCGAATAACATAACTGGTACGCAAATTACAGCTATTATAACCAAAAATGCTTCGAAAGTTGACTGAAATTTTTTTTGATTTCAAAAAAATTTTTAAAAATCTGCGGGAAACTTAAAAATTAACTCTACCGTAAGTATCATCAAAAAGCTACTTGCCTGTCCAGGATACCATTGGCTAAGGTAGCAGTCTGGCCATTTCTCATGTATAACATGACTGTCATTTTGAGCAACAATTTTTGCCTCATTGAGAAAACCAACTCGACGATCTTTGAACATGAACATACTGATCAGACCAATCTAAAATACTTCGTATAATTTTTTTCATTATGGAAAATTTATTTTTTAAAAAGTTTTGTTTTTAAAAATAAGAGTTACCAACAATGAAGGAGCACAATTTGACCCTGGATAAAGTAACCCAAAGATGTATTCCTCTCGAACCCAGAAGAATAACCATTTGATGATGATTTGAGCACACAAATAGATAAATATACAAAGCATGAATAAAATTTGTGGGATAAACACTGTGTATATTTCAATTTTTGATTTGAAGTATCTGAAATTTGTTAGATGTATCAAATTTAGATAAGATAAATGCCTTGCAAATATAAGCATCAATGAATTGAAATGTTTTAGTCAATGAGAATTTGAACAAGAAATGAATGGATTTTAAAGTGTTATCTTGTTATCAGTGCACAGCACTGAATAAACAAATAATCCTGAAAGTATTGTTGAGTAATCATCCATATTTTGCAAGACTATCATCATCAATATATTGCTAAATAAAATTGGTACAAATTCTGTTGGCAACGTACATATAATTTAACAGTGATAAAAATACTCCAAATGTCATTTGGGCAATTCCAAGTATCACGGATAATTTCATTTTCAATGAGTTTGAAAAATTTAATCGATTTTCTGCCATATTCCATACAGGATCTACACCAAACCAGTATGGTCCAGTATCATGCATATAGGATCGTGATGGCGGCAAAGCGATCGTTATTTCTTTATGCATTAGAACCGATTGGCTATTCCAGGATTCGATCTCCGCATTACTACAAAAAGTGCTCTGAAGAAGTGTTGTGTGGGATGATTCAATGGTGTAAAATTTTGGAAGGATGTATCCATTATAGGCTATGATTAATGTTGAGATATTAAGGTAAAAATTGAAACGATCGTTAAAATAACAAAAACAAGCAGAAACAATTTCGTTACTGTGAAATTTAAAACTTTAGCAATTTCAATTTAATTTAAATTAAGCTAAAAATTAAAACTTACGGGAATGGATTGCGCCACTTTGAACCGAATAGATTAAATGATTTGGCAAAAAGGTCATTGTAGAGGAAACCTGCATGAATCGAAAAAATGCCCATAAGTAAGATAATGTAACGACCACCGAAGAACATTTTAAAAATCTGCAAATTTCAATTAAATAGAAATATTTTGTAATCACAGTTTTTTTTTTTTAAAGTCACGATCATGATCATAATTTTTTAAAAAGAAATTATGATAAAAAATTGTAATTTAAAAATTAATTTTACTCTTTTAGTTGTGACACTTTTTTTTTACCATAATATTACCTCATCCTTAATATTGCGTGCAGCAAGATTCTTCTCACGAAGTACCATCCATAAACCAGCAAGGAGCATTATAATACCGTGTCCAAGATCACCAAACATGCATGAGAAAACAAATGGAAATGTTATGATTGTATAAGGAGCTGAAAATGTGGTTAAACTTGGTGAAGTTGGTTAAAGCCTACCAGAATTTTCAAAGCTTGTCGATTTTGAAACCATCAAAATATTAACCATACCGGGATTGATTTCCAAATAGGAGGCAGTACCATACGAATCAACGATCGCCTGGAAGACTTTCGTGAATTTGTTAACTCGATTGTATGTTGGTGGCTCTTCGGTAGTTTCCAGAAGATTCAGAACAGGTCTCACACTGCTACCACTTTTCCTCTGCAATCAAACCTTAATACCTGAATTGCTTTTATTCACATAATTGTTACAAAAAATTTCAATGATATTCACAAAATACGTGATGCTTGTGAAATTACGTGACTCATAAATTAATTAGTGAGCTTACTTTTTAACATGAATTTCTATATCGACAGGCTTTCAAATGTCAGCTCAGCTAATTTCTTCTTGAACTTCCAAACTATTACAAGACGAGTATGAATCAGATCTCTTACCACTCCTTCTTCAAGAGCCAAACGAACATTTTCCAGGTCAGCGTATGGTACCCAACATTCAGCAACGAAAAATTTACCGATAGCATCAAATGTAAAGAGATTCAAAGTGTAGTAAACTGATTTTTGCATGCGAACCTGGAAATGATCATGAATTAAAAAATTCGGATGTCAAAGCCTCATGCAAAAGTATTATTCTCAATTCAGATTTTAAAAGATTTTAAGGAACCTCTTTTTGCCATTGCCTGACAGAATTGGAAGCAGCCTGAAGTACTTTATACCGATGCTCTTGAGTTTGGCCCAGTACAGTACGCATATCCGATATGCGAGCTTTAACATCACGTGCTGCTGCATGACGATCCTTAAACATCGGAAATAGGTTACATATATCGAATCGCCATTTTTTTTCAGTATTCCATAAGTAAAGCAATCAGACCTTACTGTTCTTCGGACAATTGTTGTAGAGTTTAGTTTTGAATCCTTCACAAACTTTCTCAATGATAATCCGTAGGCGATCACCTTTGTAGAAAATCAAAAAGACTGATTTCGAGCACATTTCACCCTGTAATTTTATATTTATTTTTATTAATAGTTGGGAAATTTGATAAAATAATGAAAATATGAAAGAATGGGAGTAAAAATAAAATATAACAGACAGAAAAAAAAAGTGGAAACAAGAAGAAAACTGAATAAAACACCAACTATTATTGAAGATTTTGTTTTTATAAACCTAATTAGAAATTAAGAAATGAAAATAGCAAAGTTGATCAATGAAAGTTACAACATATGTTTCAAAACATACACTATCTGGATTTTTCCAATTCCTCCTCAATATCGGTCGTACGTACAAATGCTGTTTTATGACAAGCTCGCCACAAAACTTTTTCGAAGGCATTCACACGATCACGATTAATGACACCTGCCAAAAATCTGAAATCGAAACTGGGAAAATCAATGTTACTAATAAGTCTATCTTAAAATTTAGGTTTCCGTAAAGTAACTTTGACAAGAAAAGGCAGCAACTTAAAATAAATAACCATAAATATTCCTATGGTAGATTTTTTCTTTCTTTTTTTTTAAATATATATTTATTATCACTTAAGAATGTATAACAACAATAACATTCAATATATGATATTTAATTTTGATCTTTTGATTTCAATTTTAAAAACACTAATTTTGCTATATCTCTATTATAAGTTGTCCAATATAATAGAAAAATTACCCTATAGGCTCTTTTCCACTTCGGAGTACAAGCGCAGCATCTTCTTGTACTGCTTCAATTTCATGCATTGCAACGTCACTAATACCCTATAAGTAGACAGCTATTTCAATGAGTTTTAACTATCAACACTTGTTGACACATCCCATAACTAGTGGATTTCGATTTTCTCAAATCGAATTCTGTCCAATGAACCATTACTTATTGTCATAATTGGTATTTCGAATAATAAGTGAATGAAATGAAATTTCATGAGAAATTATGATATTATTTGGGTTGAACACAAAGATAAAGCAAACTTCTTCGAAGAAATGATCAGTTTTCTCCAGAATTGCTTCCCATTCTTTTAACTCCAAATAATTTCGTTTCAAAATTATATTGTTTTCGTTCATGCTGATTATATCACGCTCTAAATCAATCAGTGTCCCCTGTAAAATGTAATTTGAAATATGCCCCATTCCTCCATCTGTTTGATGTTTTATTGCCCTATAAGAGATATTTAGGGATCTCCCAAATGTCAAGAGTATTTCAGAGACAGAGAATTGTTTTGCTCTTTGTACTTTTCTTATTCCTTCTACAGAATTCAGGTAAATTCCAAAGATTCATATTAATAACGATAAGCAGGAACTCTAATTCTAAAATTCTCTCCTGAAAATATCAAAATACAAAACTGGGAATATTACCTGAAATAAAAGGTTAAAGTCTAGCTAACCTCAAGTTGATTGAGTTCATGTGGTTCCAGTACTTCATATGTATCATCATCGTTAACATCATCATTAACTTCAATATCATCTTTACGCATTTGAACATCAAGAAATCCTAAAAAAGTAACTATCATTAACTGGAAATTTTATTCATCAGTTACAATTTTCAAAAACTGAGTTCAAATGAGTTCAAATGACATATGTGAATTTGATTTTTAACAACTTACTCAACTTTCGCTCCAATTCTTCAAAGCGTTGAATGTCACGAAGATACATTCTTTGAAAAGGACTGACATGAGCATTCAGCTAAAAATTACTCCATAATTCTTCCTGATAACTCTATATGTACATTGAATAAAGAAGCACTCTTATCTCGTTGTTTATTGGTTGCTTTATTCGTGCACTCTTTCAACCATAAAAAACGCATTTTCCTTTTTTTTTTTCCTTTTATTATTCGCCAATTTATTGGAATCAGACTGATGATATTAATTCGATTAAGTTGGATTTTTTTCTTGGACACTTTCAAAGTGTCCAAATCATGTTGAAATTGAAAGTAGAATGTTGATTTAGACAAAAAGGCTTGCTAATATATTCATTCTCAATGTGCAAAATTTGTAAATAAACTATCAAATTGAATTTATTTTATGAGTGAAAACTTTATGTTTGCGCTATCATCAATTGCTTGCTGAGTAAATTTTACATGAAAGCAATCTGTTAGTAAATATAAATTGGAAACTTTCAAAATTTGCAAAAAGAAATACATCTTTAAATTGAACATAAGGATGTTTGCCAAGTTCAGCAACACATGAAAATGCGGCATCTTTCTGGACAATCATTTGGCAGAATCGCATCTGCTCTGACCGATACAGTGATCCCATGTCTGTGCGCGCAGTTTATATTCTCGATTTTTTTGACTTACAAAAATTTTACCAATTAAAAAAGTTCAAAATTGTAATTTGTATGCATTATCCTTAAAATAAATACGACATAAAAAGTAGATTTTTATATACAAACTATTGAAGTAAAAAGTTTATTACTGCAACATTTCAATTCAAAAATATCACTATCAGATGTTGGATGTACAGGGAAAATCTTAAAACGCCAAGAAATTACGCCTAAAGGATCGATCTTCTTTCTTCCTTCTTTTTCTTTACCTTCAAGAGAATGCATGACTGAAAGTTATCCATAAATGAACATAAAATTGGAAAAGAAATTAGAAATTAAATGGGCGCAAAAGTACAGGGAAAAGAACATGTCAATTATTAGTCAATAATGAGTGAAGTGAAAAGTGGTAAGTTTACATTACAGAAGACATTCCTTTTTTTTCCCACTGATGACGGGAATTTTTTCAAATGAAATTCATAAGAAAAAATATTTTTGATTGAAATATGAGGAAATCATTATCGTGATAGAATTATTCAAAAAGACAGATGAATAAGATGAGGGTAAGTTTTGGGTAAAAATGATTGATAATATTTACACTTTCTTCTAAGCAAATTTGCACATCACCTTAGCATGAATTTAATGGAAAATTGCCACTAAAATGAATTGTTCTTGTAGCATTCATCATTTCAAACATTTTAACTTAAAGATTATTATAGAAGAAGCAAGTATGCAAACAATTCTCTTTGTTAAATTTATGATTCATTTCCCGATCTAATTTTATGTTTCATATATCATGAGATTGTTGTAGAAATTTCCTGGACTCTTTTCCTTCCTTTTGAATTAGTTTCATTTAATAATTGAAATTCATATCAGTTTTGTGTGGACAAAATAAATTCGTTGGACGATTAATCACTATTTCATTCACATAATTGTTTTTGGCCAGCAAGTTTGTTAAAATTTAAAGCAAAATGAACTGCCTGTTAAAAGATCTTATTGTGTAGAACATTTCTATATATAAAAATAAAAAAATGTTACGATGATGTTACAAACAAATAGTGAGAGGAAGGGTATCATGAAAAAACTGAAGGTCAATGAGAATTTAAAGTGGCCCAATCCCGTTATCCTTGACCTTCATGAGATATTTTCGTTAAAATGCGTTCCATGCCTTCTATTTCCAGATAATCCTTACTAAAGTTATTTTAAATATCCAAAAATACTTGAATTATCCAAAAAAAATTATTTCTAGATTATTTGAAGTTCTTAATGAATGTGGTTGGAAAATGAATGAAAGAAAACAGAAATGTTTGTTACAGGTAAAACGAACATCTCTAAACAAAGCAAATAATCATTAATTGATCTAAGACAGGAGAACGAGCTTTAAATGAATAATTACGCATCATCTTGATAGTTTCAAAAATTGAGCAAATTTTGTTCGATATGAATCGGAGATTCTAATTTAACAAGAAATTACGACTAAAATTGAAGATTGAAAATTTGACGGAATTAACAAGAACAAATCAAAGGCAAACAAATGCAAAATTGAAAGGTAGTTTTTTTTTTCTCTTAAGTTTATCAAATTCATTGAACTTCACTAATATTGCATTATTTTTAATAACGATAACTAACTTTCTGCTCTTCATCGTTCTTCCTGTTTACAGGCACAACAATAATTTTACTTACATTGAACTCCAAACGAGCACTATTACTTTTCTACTATTGCTATTTTAAAATCAGTAATTTCGGAATTATCCGACAAGGCATTTTCTATGATGTTTATGCATAATACAATATCCAGAATGATGAAATTCCGAAAATTGCAAAATTTACTTGAGTTGTCGATTTCCGGAAATGGTGAATTCAAGCAAATTATTGTGTTAAACTGTTTACTTATTCCAAATATAATAGATAAATAAGAGTTGTTTTGAAAAGAACTTTCTCTTCTAACTGATTTAATCAAACGATTATTAAATTAAGACTAAAAACAGTACGGGAAATTTGACTTCATCGCAAAGAGAAATGAACTATCCAGAACTAATACTTTGCTTTTACAAGATAACCGTTCCAGTTGTTCGTCGCCAAAATTATTTGATATTGAATTTTGTTATCAGCATTAATATTTTTTCTTTTTGTTGCAGAAGCACAGTATTTTACAATTTGTTTGCACATTATTGTCCATCCTATCAGTTGCAAAATCGCGACATCCATCCGTTCAACATGATTGACAAACATAGAGATGACAAGAACTTCATAATTGCGATGATGCAATATGAGCAATTCTAGTACGAAGTTATTAGAATTAAGTACAGTTCTATAATTTCTCCTTTTTTTAAAATCATATATCGGTTTTAGTTTTACGATATGAAATATCAGCAATGATAAAGTGATGCGTATGCATGAAATGTTTTAAATGTTCAATAGATCATGCATTGAAGGGACGAAAAGAAACAGGAATATATAGCAAAGTAGAGTACAAAAAAGTTTGCAATCGATATAAAAATGTATTTTTGAAATGATTAAAGGGAAGAGGATTTGACAGCAAGATCTATTACATCAGCAAATGTTATTTACAATTGGCAATTATTATCGTCCGTAATAGATAAACATATTAATACAATAATTACATTTTATAAGATGTATAATACATTGTGTTAAAATACTTCCCATAATTTCGAATTTTGCGAAATTTCAAATTTCTTAAATAAATATGTGCCTTAGTGCGACATTTTGGTATGATACCATTACTACGACTGAAGAACTTGTCTATCTCTTGACTGATCTGTACGATACAGAAACTAGCGCAGAACATCAGATCTTTTCCCAACCTCGATACTTATTTTCCCTTCTTCTAGATTAATTTCGATTCTTCAGTAAATTTAACTTTTCCATTTCTCTAGGATATGTTGGAGGTTAGAAATAAAATGAGATAGTTCAAGAAGAATGCAAAAAAGTAAGACAGACACATATAAGTCGTAAGGTAACATTACTTTATTTTACTGAATAAGTCAGTTAAATCTTATTTTGAAAATTAGAAGTTTTATTGATAAATGCGAACAAATAATTCAAGAGTATGAAGTTATCATTGCAAAATTATCACCTAGAGTGAAATACTATAAGTGATGTGAGTGAAAATTGGAAATTTATCAAGTTAAAAACAAAAAACAAAATGTTAGAATGCAACTTTTTAACCTTAAATAGTAATAGCATAGTCATATTCCCTATTTCAAGCGATTTTTCTCCTTCTTTTTAAAAAGGAAAGAATGGCGCATAACCGAACTGATAATATGAAAGCCAGAAATGAATTGATAATAATGATGATGATGATAATGATAGTAGTTATGCACGATAGTGGTAAAAGGGCGCAGCAGTGATAATGATTACCCTGATTATAGCCATACATCAGAATAAAAATCATGAATGGGAGCAAAAAAAAAAACTTGGAAAATCTCATGCGACAGCTGGAAGGGTAAGGGTGGAAAGGAAGATGGGAAGGGAAGAGGGGGACATGAAAGGTGACTGATCTTTGTTCATCCCCCTCCCCCATTCTCATGTCGAGACTACTTACTGGTTTTCGGTCCTCATACAAGCGAAAAATATTTCTGCTCATACCAGTGTCAGAAAACTAGTTCTTCGTTCTGTCATATATCAGAAAAAGCTTACCATTTGCTAAATCGGCGCAGATGTTTCCCTTTTCGTTACAATTATCCCTACAATTCCGCTTACCAATCGTATAACATGAAAATGTTATATTTGTCAAAAAAGGCTTTTTTTTAAACTGATAAGTGAATAATATATTTGAAATGGGTTACGGACAATTTTGATCTCTTCAAAGCAAAGTAATCCATAATGAAAGGTAATGATGTTCGATGTAATGATCAGTAACGACAGCACAGTTAAATCGAAACTTTATTCTTGTAAAGATAAAGGGACATAATACTAGGAGAAGAGTCAATATCGAGAATCAAATCTTAAAATGAGTAAAAGTAATAACTCCAATAAAACCTTTATGTAGTGGGTATAAATTATATAAAAAATGCGCATATAGAATGCATACAAGATCATTAAAATATTCTAAACAACAAATACCATAACATTTTATAATTTCTTCCGTTTCCTGATTTTTAACTGTATCAAAATAATCATCAATATAAGATTGCCTGGTTTAAGGCCAAACAATTTTATAGCACAATTATTTCGGTTTTCCCGACAATATTTCCCCATATTCATATCGTTCTTTTTTATGTTTATATATGTCTATTTATACACTATATATCTGTATGAAATTATAGTTCTTCACAAACTTTTTTCAAGTGATTTCGGATGATTTTTGAAATAAAAATAATTCAGTCCAATGTATTCATACGATACGACAATCTGTCATAAAATAGTACAGTTAACATTGGAATACTTCATGATAATCCGTTTTTACCAGAAGTGAGCAACAAGTTTAAGTTTGGATTAATTTGTGAACAAAATATACACCTTGATGTAAGATGCAATTCATCGTTCGACCTTCCCTGTTTTCGGTCACTTTTTGGAAGTACTTTTGACTAGAACAAGTATAATACTCACTTGATAATGATTAATGACTGATGAATTAAGAATGATACTTAGTTGTTCGCGAAAATTACTGAGTGTAAAATGAAATTTCAAAATTTTCATTTTTCCGCAATGGCAGTTTTAAAGTTACCCGAATTTTCAAACGAAAAAAAAATCGCAAAAAAAAGGAAAAGTGCGAGAAAAATCAATTTTTAAAAATACTAGTATAAAAAGACCGCTATACTCTACACTTTTATAAAATTTTAAAAGTAATTTTGGTAAACGAAAAAAAAAGCAAGTGAAAAGTGAAAATATGTTGAATGTAAAATGTAACAATGATTACACTTCTAAATACTTCTATCCATTTTTTTTTTTTTTNTTTTTTTTGTGTTGCAGAAATGTCAACAGCAAAAATATGGCTCGGAAAAAAATGAAGGTAAAATGTAAGTCATGGATTTTTCGATGAGAACTCCGGGAGTAAGACAAGAGACAATAGTGATTCACTAAGTCATGTGCAAGAGATTCTTGCGTCTCACGAAGGTTGATGACCTTTGGGGAAATTGTCCATAAATTGAAAATATGCAGATTTTTTGGAGGAAAAATGCATATAATCAGAAGAAATGAAAATATTCTTCAAAATTTCAATTCATCAGGCTTGGGTAAATTTGGTTGGGATGACTATCTCCATTTTCTTTCATGGGTGATACGGGGTGAGTAGTGTAAGATTTTCCCTTAAATAGTTCATTCAGGTTTTTAGGCAAGATTTTCTGGAAACTTATATGATGAACAATGTTTTCCCTTAGATGGCATCAACATCCCTCGGGATTATTAGTTCAATTACATTATCCTGCTTCATTCCATAGTTCCTCAAATACTCTAAGTCCACTGATAATTACGACAGAAAAACTACAATTCCTCACTCAGTATCTTGATCGTCCGGATTGCCTCCAGTATTCAGCTGTACCGCCTATTTGTCAGGCTTCGGTATCCTTATATGGTGTCATGCTAGGCTTGTTTGGTTTGGATTCCCACTTTCAACTTCAACCGCTGAACTCTCCACTTGCTATTTTCCTGGAGACTAGGATCGTTGTACCGATTGATCCCACCAAATAATTATATATGACAATCACTTGATGAGATTTCCATCGGTGGTGAATGAATTATACTCCTATCCGTTATTGTCACGGGATACGTCTAGTACATAAGTTCCTATCCGTTATTGTCACAGGATACTCTAGTACATAAGTTCCTATCCGTTATTGTCACGGGATACGTCTAGTACGCAAGTTCATCACGTGATACGTAATAAATTTCATCAAAGGTATGGGCGAGCAAGTAACTGGTCGAGTTTTGTTGGCTGATTCGTTGTTGCACCCTCCGCAATGCGTTCATCAGTGGGCATGTGTGATGGGCGGTGATCGGCCGATGGATGGTAATCTATGTAGCTCTCCGGAATGCACTAATGCGGCCAAGCTGCGTTGCCCGACGTGCATCGAACTGAAATTGAGAGATTCCTACTTTTGTTCTCAGGTTAGTGTCATTCATCAGTCATTTGGTACCTGTAAGTGATGGGGATATTCGGAAGTAACTTATTGTGCCTTCGGTTTACTCGTGCTGATCAAACGGATTACACAATACTGCTAATAAGGAACGAAAGCACTAACACAGAATAAGAAGAGCATGATAAATAGATCCGGGATAAAGTCGTTAGAAAGGTGATAGGTATCATAATTGTTATGATTCGGATTACTGAAAATTTATGTAAAAATGGATTTTGATACGGTTAACATTTTGAGCTATTACCCGAAGCGGATGCGCATTTATACAAAGGTATGGGCATTACATGATTATGGACGCATTGCAATGACTAACCACACCAGGTAGCCAGCATCCGGTTCAAACCGTGGATTTACCTGTTAAGTGTTCTGAAATCATGCATTCAGTTCGAATATTTATAAGGTTTCGTTTTCAGGAATGTTTTAAAAATAGCTGGGCATTTCATAAATTGATCCATTTGGCATGTACTGGATCTCCAGAACAGTATAATCCATGGCCTTATTATCACTTTACTGGGTTGTTGCGTCCTGCACCAATGGGGCAGAAACGCGAAGTTCCGGATACAATCCCGAAACCTGATTATGCATTTCGTACAGATGGCATTTCGGAAGGCGAACAAGTCGCAAAAAATGTTAATGAGATTAAGGTTGGTTCAACAATGTTGAAGAATAGAATTCTTTTTGTTTTTCTCTTCTATTGGTTTCTCTTGGATGGTTCATTTTTGTAAGATTTTAGGGGTAAGTTCAAAATAATTGAATTAATTTCCATAGTTACTACTGATTTTTGACAAACAGTGAAAATTCAAAGCTCAGAATCCTTTATATTTCATTGAAGTTTTGAGGAAGGAAGAAAGAGAATAGAATGTTGAAGAACTAATGCCGCAATGTTTAGGGATAAGTTTTCTTTTCGAGAGAAAATTTTCAGGTGCTCGATGATGACGAAATACAAAGCATGAGAACAGTTTGCAAACTAGCTAGAGAAGTACTCGATGAAGCGGCCCGAGCTTGTGAACCCGGTATTACTACAGATCATATCGATGCTATTGTGCATGAAGCTTGTGTTGAAAGAGACTGTTACCCCTCTCCTCTTGGGTAAGGTTTATTATTTCAATTAAATCACAACTTATTTATTACCTCAGGTACTTTCCTTGCACGTACACTAATTGTCAGGTGGACTATCATGCTTCGGGATTTGTTATCAAGTCAGGATTAAGCTATCTGGAATAGTGCCATTCAGAGTTATTCAGATATCATCAGTTTCCGAAGAGTGTTTGCACATCAGTCAATGAAGTCATTTGTCATGGAATCCCAGATATGCGCAAACTTGAGAACGGCGATATTTGCAATGGTACGTTCTACTACAATTGCTCCTCCAATTTTCATCTAATTAATGTGCAACCGACCTAATGTTTTTGACTCTGCAAAACGAGTCGTAAATGGTCGTAAATGCTCTTTTAAAGAAATCTTGGCAAGAGTAAAAGTTGGATGGTGATCTGTTTCTATTTATTATTTTGTAATTCATTTAAAACTTAATGATTTGCAGTCGATGTAACAGTATATCATCGTGGCTTTCATGGTGATCTAAACGAAACATTTCTGATTGGTGACAAGGTTAAGGAAGATACGAGGAAGCTGGTGAAAGTTACATATGAATGCTTGCAGCATGCTATTGATTTAGGTGATTATAGCTGTCTAAGAATAGTCTTTCACACATTTAGAGTTTGCACTAAAGTTCAGGGTTATTCCCTCCTTTTTTTTCCTTCAGCAAAACGCTGCCAATTTTATACGCAAGAAATTAAGGCTTTTCTTATTTCAGTTCGTCCGGGTGTGCGCTTCCGTGAAATCGGCAATGTTATCCAAAAACATGCAAATGCGCATGGTTTCTCAGTTGTTAAGACATACTGTGGGCACGGCATTCACAGGTTTTTCTGCACATCTTTATTTGGAACCCTTCTGGTGGACTTTTCAATTAGAAAAGTTTCAAAGTTTCAGGACTTATTGTAAGTTCCAGAAAATTCTTTCAAAAAACAGTTTGTCAATCACTGACCTGTTTTTTCAGGCTTTTTCACACTGTTCCGAACGTGCCACATTATGCAAGTATGTTTTAATTTTACTCACTTACTTTCTATGTTTGAAATTCTGTTTCTGTCCTGTGATCTCCATTTTTCATTAAGTAGATGAAACTGTTCTCAAATCCTAAAAGAACAAGGGGAACAACGGCGAATGATTTTCAGGTCTTACCTGAACGTCATTTGCTCTGATTTCAGGTAGTTTTTGATTATCTTTTCTAGAAAACAAAGCGACGGGAGTAATGAAAGCTGGCAATACGTTTACGATCGAACCAATGATTAACGCTGGTGGACATAACAACGAACGTTGGCCGGATAATTGGACTGCTGTCACTGTGCGTTATCTTTCTGCATCTTTTTTCTTCAGTTTCGAGATAAAGGAAATTTTTGAGAGTTTGAAACATTTTAGACCCTCAGTTTCATTGTGATAACTATTTTATGAGTTTAGAGTGATGGGAAGCCATCGGCACAGTTCGAACAGACGTTATTAGTAACTGAGTCCGGATGCGACGTGTTGACAGCTCGAAATACAGGCCGACCTTGGTTCATGGACCAGCTAGAAAAGAGTTATTCCTCAGATTAGGTTGAGTAGCTCCCACCTCTCCCACTCAGTTCGATACATCGAGGAAATTCCTCCTGTAGTAAAGAGGTTTCATGAAGTCACGACTTCATCAGTTTCCCGATTTGAACTGATTTGTAACACTGTCTTGGTGTTTAGTGATTGTTTTTAATCTTGTTTTTAATTCCCTTTTCTTTTATTAGTTGTATTTCTCCACGCAATCCCGATGCGTGAGAAAGTTATTGTGGTTCCGAAATGAATGAACCATTTCCGAATTTTACATAGTTGATTTCAATAATGACTTTGACTTGTTCTATTTTAATTTGTTCTATGAATCTCCTTTATCTGCCTTGTCCCAGCATCATAATCGCGACCTCACTAACAATAAATTTGTTGTATGTGGAGTTGTCTTATTGGCTCATAATTTGTACTACGGTTTGTCTAAGACAAAGATGATGTCGAAAACGTTGGTTATAGGATATCTTGTTTGTCTTGTTTCTTCAATAGAAGATATTATTTGGAGCTGTCTCAGTATAATGTTTGTTTTATTTTCAAGTTAGTCCTTAAATCAGTTCATCCCATGTCCTTGATCTCTTAACGTCCATTTATTTATGTTGGGACATGGAACGTCATCACTGGAAGTGTTAATATGACTACTTAATATCTACCATTTTACATTAATAGAAAATGCTGTCTGCAGTAGGGAACGCATATGTACGTACACGGAACATTATTATGGCTAAGTATCGCGACCACTGACACAAGTTTTTCTGCATATCTTTTTTTCTTGGAACTTTTCCGGTATACTTTCCCATTAGAATAAGTCTCGGAGTTTCGGGATTTCTCAAAACAGTTTGTCAGTCTTTAGAGAACAACACATATGGGAGTGAAATGAATGAAGCACGACCTTCCCTCTCTCCATTCTTCTCCATTTGTTTCTCAGTTTTTCCTCAAAAAGTTCTTTTCTGAATTGAATGAGAGGACAATTTTCAAAATTTGATAGTTATAATATAAACAAAAGGCACCAACTTTGTTCTATATATTACTACTCATAGGCTAGGATCATGTACTATGATCCTTTAAACTTCATCACTCAGGGTTGAAGATTTCACCGGTCTCAGAACATCTTTTACATCAAGATCATTTCATAAAACTTTGGAAACCAGTGCTAACTCGCATATCCAAAGATAAGTAAATATTAATATCAATCGTGACATCTACTGCATTATTATCTTCATAAAATTCCATACAGCATGCGGTGCCGTAGGTACTCATCGTTTGGTTAGGTGAATTGATTATTAAGACGTTATACAATTCCTGGAATTGAAATAAAGTCAATAAATATAGTGTGTGTTGCAAAATATGGAAATCTGTGTTGAACATAAATACTCTATGCAATAAAGCTATACAACCGAGAGAACATAAATACTAAAAATGAGAAATGACCAAAGTAAAGTGCTGATGACCGTTGACGTCATCAGTAAAAAATAAAAGTTGAAGTGAAACTCCAGCTTTACCGGTTACGAAACTATAATGCCACCACTTCCCAGCCCTCTTTTTAGCGTCTTATACCACCTGAAACAAAGTAAGAGATGATTTTCAAAATTAATATCAAATATCATTAGGGCCCTCCATATATATATATATATATATATGTATGTATAATTTCTTTAAATTAATTAATCAAGTGCTAACAACCTTTCAGCACTTCCCGAATGTGCAACTCGAAAATGAAGTGAAATACCATTCCTCTCATTTACTTGATTAGCATGCCGTAGCTCAAACAAACGACCACCATCATCTGATTCTTGCACACAAAGTGTAAATCCTAGAAGAACGTAGCGCGCCACAGGATCCACATCCTCAAATGGCATAAACTTTTAGTCCAAACACTTTATTTCGTAAAACTCCTTATTTGTTTGTTATTAGTACTTCTTTTTTCCTGAATTTGGTAAGGAGATATAGTCAAAATGAGCTTTTTCATCAGAAAAGGAATGAGAGCTATTGGGATTTACAAAGTATTTGCATGAACTCACAAACTCCGCATCATAAAAGCAAAGCACTAAGACACCATCTGCATGTGATGTAAGTCGACCCCACTTTTCATTTTCACCACCTTTTTGATTCCTGAAAAAAGTGAAGATTCATTAGTAGCTGGAAAAATGCTCATGTTACATTATAACAAAAAATAAATCTATGATACAGAAAAAGTAACCTAAGAAATACAGTGCCAGATACTACTCCTTCCGCATTTCGACTGGGAACACTAGTTTTAGTCAGGAATTCATTTTCCGGAGCTGTGAAAGTCGTGCCTCCTAATTCTCCTTTCCCTAAAATCAGAATTAACACTTATTACCTTAAGCAAAACATAAAATTAATTTCGAAATTACTCAATCACAATTGAAGAGACAAATTTTCAGAAATACCAAAAACAAGATTATGGCATTGAACAAACATTTTTTGATGATTTTAACATAGCATTCTGGACAAACTTTGGTGCGCACGTAATAACTGTTAGTTTTGACAGGAGCATAACCAACACAAGAACGACATATCAACTGTAATTGGATTATTTAACCCCAACTAATTAGGAAATCGATTCAATCAAATACAGCAATTCTCATCATAATCCAAGGTTTTCTTTGCTAGAAAATTATCTGCGGGCGATTTGATGCCCTAAACAAAAATTCCATCTTTTAAGATCAAAAAATTGAATCTTTTTATTCCGATCGATAACGTCATTTGTGTCATAAATTTCTTGATGTATTATTGTATTATTTATTATACAAAGGTATGTCGATGTATAGCTAAACAAGTTTGTATTTGCTTTATAACTTTTGCTAACGCATTCTAAATGAAATTTCCTTGAATCTACTATAGTTATAAAATCATAATTGAGAACTATTTTTCCTATAGGAAAATATAAATAAACTTACGTATCCACATTCACGACAGTGATGGCGACGATTCAGAACGTTGAATTTTGTAGAACAACCAGCCATCATACACGACGTTGCTTTTGGATCAGGTATCCATAATGGTGTATACTTATGCTTTCCGCTAGTAGGTAGTGAAACATTGCAATCCGATCCATTATTCGAAGCCCTTGTATCCGATGTACCCTCACCTGTTGGCTCATCTATGTGCATTACTCGAACACTGAGATCCTGAAAATGAAGTCAGGAGAATTACGAATAAAATATCAGCTATCATTATAAGAATAATTTGGGAACGACCTTGTTTCTAGCAGCTTTAATGCGACGCAGCTCTTTTGCCTCCATCTTTGCTTCACTGATTCGTTTCACCCAATCATCTCTTTCTCGTTTCGTTCTATAGATTCAACTGTATTTCTTCATTTGTTAAAATGAAATTTTTCACAAATTAAGTACCAAAAGCTTGACGTAATCAGATTAGTACCATCCAGTTGCACAGTAACACAGTGCAAATCACCTTTCTGTGAAAAAGCAACACAAGCTGTGGATGGCTTTGTCAACTAATATATGGCAGAATCTTCTTGTTTTACTAAAAATTTTAAAGAAGACATTTCATGCCATGTTTCTACACCGTTTAGCTGTTGTGACTTTTCGCCTTTTGCAACGAGTAAACTGGATTTTGTGATCTAGCTGCTTTAACAATAAACAGAATGCTGAAAGAACAAGTTTCCAGTAAAAATAAAACATACTTTGCAATGAAAACGGCACTTTTCTGTGTGGTGTATAGTTGAAAATGAGTTTCGTACTCGCCGTGTTCTTCTGCTTTAACACGAACCCGAGAAACAAGAAATTTATAAAATTCAGAATGAAAATTGGCATCTGTTCCAAGCGAAGGCGTTCTTGAATATTTACAAATTAATAACACATCCGAGAACTGCAATACATAAAAGTTATTTAAAACTTAAATATTTTTATACAAACAAAATGTAATACTTTAGATTTATTACGTCGTTTTCACATCTGCTACCCACCACAATGTTTTGCTATCTGAACGGTTTGGGCTAGCGTGAAATATGGCGGGATTTCATACTAGCTGTTTCAAGCCAGTCCAGAATAGACACCTTCCATGAATTACGTAGATTACTATTGACAGCTTAACTAGAAAGTCGTTCATAAACAGCAGCAAGGATATTGTGCCTCAATTTCCTACACATGAAGCCCATTTTACTTATTCTCCAGAAAACAACACATCTTTTCTAATAACCAACTTTCTGCTATCTAAAAAACAATTCGCAAAAGGTTATTGGACTTTATGTAACCCCCTAAACTGAAAAAAAGAAGAAACGATAAAGCAAAATCATAAGATGTTTTTCTTTTTCCGAAAAACAGAACATACTAATATCAGGTAACGAGGCTGTAAATCTTTTCGCGACTGTTTCATCAATTCGCCTTCAAATAAAAGGTGACGATTTGCTTCGAAAACATTAAACCTTCCCTGCAAATTTCAATTTTTATGCAACTTCTTGAACATTTCGGTAATTAAAAATTAGTGATATTTTCTTTCAGTAATAAAAAGTACCTCAAATCGTCGATACAAGTCAATTAGACATTTTTCCAATTCAGCTCGACTAATCTGTCGATCAATTAGTTCTGATACTTTAGATAACTGCACTAATGCTTCTAAATAATAAAGATAAAAGTGATTTATTATGCGAAACTCTTTCTTTATGAAACGTCCTAGAAGTGTTGATGCAAATACGTTAGGCTAATTAAAAAATGACAAGAGATAGTTTTCTGGGAGCCATGAATACAAACTTTGAACTAAAACCAACCTTTACACACTTCCAATTCATCAGATTCCGGTGCTAAATGCTTTTTGTACGCCTCCAGTAAAATCGTATAACGTACGACATTTTGATGAACAATATCAAGTTGCTGAATTATGGATATTTTACCCATTAGTTGTTCCTCGAACTAAAAACAGCAAAGTGTGAAAAACGTATCAAATAGCAATAGTTCATTTCGAAAATATTTCAGTTCTGTTTACCTTTGTTGTTGCACGAGCTAATTCTTCGTTATCTTGAAGCAATCTTAGAAAATTATCAACATTCTTCTTCTTTTCTTTGAGGTAGGGAAGACAACATTTCAATAAACCAGCACCATTTTTTAAGCATTCCGCCATATTTGGATCTCTCGAATCCCTAAAATTATGTATAAAATTTCGCTATTCTGTAAATGCAGCTCCTAAAATTGTATTGCTTAAAATTTTTTAGTATTATCCAGAATCAGCAAAATCTTATTAAGCTCCTTACTTGATAATTTTTCTTATACCATCGCAAATTATATATTATTATGATGGGGTAGACCATAAATATTATTTTAAAAAATACCAATTCTCGATTTTTGAAGAAATTTTCTCCAGTAAAAACTTATGTGCTTCTTTCACCATAAGCAGCTGCTGAGCTATCTGACTGATCAAATGAGGATGTCCATTTGGTAAAGGTTTCAGCAAATCGATTCCTAATTCCTTCCCATATTCTGTCAAAAATTCAGGATATTTCTGAAAAGTGATATTCATAAATAAAAACCGAAAAAAAAGTCATAATTCATAATACGCCGTCAACTAAACACCAAATACTTACCACAGCAATAAGTTCCAACTGCTCAACGAATTTTTTCTCAACTGTATAAATTTCAACCGCCGCATAGTGAAGCTTCTTCAACCTCTGATCCTACAATTTTTATTCATTCACGGTAGCGATAGCTTTCAAATTACTTCATTTTGTATAAAATCTCCAGTGGAGGCTTCATTTCCATCTCTATGAATAAAGCCAGAGAAATAAAAGCACTCGTTTCTCTGTACTAAGTGTAATGAACTGACTACAAATAGTTTCATATATCGCCCGATTCATCCCATTATATATTTTGATTCCGTACCATAGTCTTTACTTTCATTTCCATCCTACTGTTCCATAAGTTT